CAAATCAAACAATATATGTCTACTAAATAAATAAATCAGTTTAAATTTTAAATATTTCAAAATAATGCAGAGTTAATTTTGCCAATTGAAAATGAAGATGTTGAATCTAAAGTCAGTACATCTTTCAATTAAACTGTGTGATAGCATTATCTTCCATCTGGTTGTGTATTTAAGATTGACTTCTTTAATAATGAATTGTATCCAAATTTTTCAATTTGTTTAGTATATGCTGTTTTATAGTATTGTTTACCACTTGTATATCTCTCTACGGTTGGTGGAGATATAATGTAATTTGTTCCTTGATTAATATGATTTGGTATCACTCTATATATATGCCTATAAAACAGAGTATTAAAACAGTATTATTTCATGTTCGAGTATGGATTAATCGTCTTTGGATATTGTTAATATTACGAGTACCCAAAATAGGTATGATGTCATTTATTGGAGAATCTCCAAAATATTTATTCCAAAGGTAATGAAATTTAGATAGGAATGCCTTCATACTGGAACAATATGTAAAATGTGCAAACATTGTTGTTCCATAATTCAAAGGAATCTTCTCTTTTATTGGAAGATTAATTACCGTTTTACGACATTCATTATAATTTTGTAAAGTTAATGGTTGATTAATATTAACTTTAACTAAAATATTATGAAATTGTTCATCTATAAATTTATTTGGATATTTATTTAATAGTCATGCCATTCGTAATTTCTCACGCTCATTTAAATAAGTTTGAAATGATGAACAGTATCTGATGGCACGAAATAACATAGTAAAAATTATATTCTTTTTCATATGTAAAGGATGGATGCTATTAAATGGCAAATAATATGGTTCATAAGATGCTTTTTGAAAAATTGTAGTAAATAATTGACCATCTTGATTTTCTATATGCAAATCAAGAAAATCAGCTGTTGAATCAATATTTTTTGATAATTTAATATTTTCATCAAAATGATTCCATCCATCGATTTGTTTGAATAAATGTCGAGCTGGCCAGTTTATTGCTATAAATATATCATCAATATATCGAAAATATAATCCACCACTATTGCTTATTTGTTTAATAATTTGCTGTTCATAGAAGAACATATAACAATTAGCAATAGTTAAAGTAAGAGGAGAACCCATAGCCTCTCCTCGAGTTTGATGTTAATATTAACGATTATAAGAAAAATAGTTATTATTTGCATAACAAATCGACTTAATCAAATAATGGTTTCTATGTTAAGACTACCAATACTTTTTAATTTTAAATAATCTAAAATTTTCTTTAAAGATAATACTCCTCCAGTTTGTGGTACCATTGTATAAAGATCTGCTACATCAATTGTACAAAATATAGTTTCTTGTTTTAAATTAGACTCTGACCATTTTCGTATCTGTTTTAATAATTCAAAACCTGAATTGACAGTTATCTTCGAAGCCATTTTATCAAAGAGTGGTCGAAGAAGATTGTCAAGATATTTAGATATTTTGATTGTAGGATGTTTTAGACCAGAAATTATTGGACGAAGAGGAGTACCTGGTTTATGTGCTTTTGGTAAATAATATAGATGTGGAAGTTCAACTTCATTTGGATTAATACATAATGTTTCATATTGTTTTTGAGTAATCCATTTAGCTAATCGTAAATCTAACAAATATTTATTTGTTCTTTTAATTAGATCTGGTAATGGATTATGTGTTCCTAAACATTTATATGCTTGAGTTTTAACCATATGTTCTTCAGATTTCATTTGATAATCTTCTGATCGACCTAAATGGAATACTTTTGATTTATCTGATTTCCGTAATATTGGATTAGTTAATTTTAATTTATATCTTAATCGTTTAACTAATCGGTTGTAATCTTTCTTCTTTTTTTCTAGAATTTATATAAATACTTTGAGATTGACTTAATTGTATTGTAGATAATAAGTTTTCAAATGAAATATGATTTAATTCTTTATGTTTTTGATATTGATTATTTATTGATACATTATGTAATTTTTGAAGTAATAAATCCAATTCGGCAATAAATTGTTCGACAGGACGACCAGGACTAAGTTTTTTGTCGAAGAATCGAGCTTCTATTTTTCGCTTAAGATCTGCTAGTTCAATTGTACGTCGACGAGATGCCGTTTGTGGATCATTATAAGTAAACCGAGGACCTAATTTTAATAACTCATATTCATCCTCGGTTAATCGAATTTGTGCTTGATTAATTATAGCTGGAGCAAGAATTCCTCACCCAGCGATCGAATTAGAGTCGGGGCAATGATCTCATCTGGATCGCTTGTGTCGCCCTCAACTCGCTGTTCGGATAAAAAATAAATCGATTGTTCAGCTTCTAAATTTAATCGTTTTTCTCTTAATTCATGATAATATTTGAATGCTGCATAACCAGGTTCAGCATCGAATCCATCATCGTTTTCTTAAGGAAATCCTTCAATAACACGTTTAATTTCATTCGATAATAATTCATTTTCTCGACCTAATGATTGTACATATAATGTCATTGCTTGCGTTCGAAATTCTTTTGTAATTTGACGCATTTGATTATATGTAGCTTAAGCTTCATCTTGATTAATAATAGATGCATCGATTTTAAAGGATAAATCAACTTTTTCAATGAATTTTGGAGGTATATCATATTCAACACGTTTTGTGGCTGTAAGATAATTTTTATGTTTAGTTGACCAAAGTTTCATTTCAGATTTTAATGCCAAATGAATATTCCACTGAGATGGAGTAGCTATTTGTTCAAATTCTTCTAAAGCTTTAACTTCATCCATTTGTATTTTGGCTAATTGAATATGAGTTTCATGCATTTTCTTTACGTGTTGAGTACAATGTTGCAAGTATTTTAATATTAATTTTTCAAGTTCATCAGTTTTACTTCGAATTCTTTCAATACATAATGGAACAACTACTGGTTTCGATGTTACTGTGGCCTGTGCTGTTGTAGCTGTTGTCGGAGTTACAGGTGCAGCTGTAGTAGTAGTTGCTTCTATTGTTATTGAAGATTGTTGTTGGCATAGCAGTTTGGGTTGTATTATCAGCTATTGGCTTAATTTTTCTATATCCTGGTACTTGTGATCAGTATGTGCTTAATTGAATTTTTAAATCTGTGGTAGTTGCATTGGCTTGAGCAACTAAAGTTGATAATTGATTGATTTTCTTTTTCACAAATTGTGTACTAACGAAATCATCACGTTTTTTAGTTTGTTGAATGATTTCTTTTGCCCAATGTTTATTTTCAGTACCCATTTTTAAATAATGTTGCCATACTTGTATATCATAATTAGCTCGAATCCATTCATCATAAATAGGAATTGAAGCCATAAAATAAGCATGATTACCACTTGTATCAAGAATATCAATTGAAGATGTCTCATTTTGAACCCATGCCATAATACGATCATATGCAAAATAGGCTCGATTTTTCTTTTTCTTATCCTTTTTCTTTTTTGCCCTTTTATTGCTATTTGTAGACAAAGTTGGTTCATTTCCATCGACATTCGATATTAAATCAACATCTTCATTTGAATCATTTTCAGGTAATACATCAAATCGATTATTTTCAATAACATTTTGGTTTTCACGATATTGTTGTTGGCGAACTCGTCTTTGTCGACGTCGAAATGATGTTGTAGTAGTAATTGTTGTTTGTCGCTGCTGATTATTATTTTCATTATTTACATCAAATGGTTGAGTTGTATTTGTAGCAGAAATTACACGTTGTGGTAATGCATCAACTGGCCCATTATTTATATTTGAAGCTGTAGTTGTAGCTGCAGTTGTAGCTAAATTAAAATCTACTGGAAGACTTGGTGAAGCTTGACGTAGTTCGACTGGCATAAATTCATTTAAACGTATTTGCCTTGGAAAACGTTTACGTTGTTGTCCTAATCGACTTTGTCTTTGACTTGAATGAGTTCTTGGTCGATTTTGACTAATTCTTTTTTGACGAGATGTTCTTCGAACAAATCTTCTTTGTGCCAGTGGTTGAATAGATTGATTAACAATTCCATAGCCAGGATAATATGGTGGTGGTCCATAATTACGATTATAAGAAATATTACGGCCATAGTTCAATTTAGGATAAAATCCAACATTTGTATTTGGATAATTTCGATAATTTCTTCTCCTATGATTAAAATAGTTACCTTCATAATTTAGGGGTGGGTGTGGGTGTGTGTATGAATTAAGGTAAGTTTAACATCGACAC